CTATGAGATATGAGATGTGAGAAAATTAATCAGAAATTAAAAAGACATATAAACAAAAAATATGAATCCTTCCAACTATACATCGATACCTTGAGTATGCCGACGTTCAACTCCTTGATGTGGAATGTCCGAGTGAGGCATCGTATGCTCGCTTGTCCTTCAACTCTTTGGAAGCACATAGCATTCCTTCCTGGAAGCACAGTTCCTCCAAGCTGGTGCGTTCCTCGAAGCCGGTGCTGGTTTGAAGATTGCATCCGCAATGATTACCAGAAAAAAATGAGGAGGTTGAAAGGAAAGCGACTTACAAGGGAACGATACTTGGTGTCCGTGGCCTTTTGAGATGAGATGCATACCATTACACTCGTTTTGGAGCGCTGATTCCGAATCTGACTTCCGTTTTTGCTAATCGTTTCTCTGGAAGAAGTTGTGAAGGATTTTCGCGCCAAAGAAGATGTGGTCAGAATGCCAAAACCGCGGCTAAGATGTGGTCAAGTGGCTAGTGCGATAGCCTCGCAAGTTAATGCAGCTTTAGGTTCGAGTCCTTTTGTGTTTTTCAGTTTTGCATTGCCTCAATCAAGCTCCTTTTTGAAAGTTAGGCATCTTCGACCGTATTTCTCTTAGGCGACCATTGACGCGAAAATCCTTTATAACTTCTTTTAGAGAACCGATTAGCAGAAACGGAAGACAGATTCGGAATCAGCGTTTCAAGACGAGTGTGATGGTATACGTTTCATCTCAAAAGGCCACGGACACCAAGTATCGTTCCCTTGTTAGAGGACAGAACGCGGAAGAAACACAGAAACGAAAAAAGAACGGGTAAGAAACGATTAGAAGGGACATGAAAACAAAAAGAGCTTATTTTTGAAACTAGCGGGAGCTGCGCGTCAGCAAACGGCAGATTAGCTGCGCACCTATAGCGCTCCGAAGGTGCAGCGCGCATAGACTCTCCGGGGGTCTCCCAAATCTGGAGCACCTCCGGAGCCCAGATTTGCGAATTCTCCGGGAGTGTTCTTCTCAGCTTCTAGTGACGTCACCATCGCCCCGCCCCTTCAATGGTTAAGAGCGCCCTCCGGAAGTGTGCCACATTTCCGTCCTTTGGAGGTATTTATTTGTATGAGAGCAGATTCACGACACGACCCACCGTGGGTCGCACGTGTTCTGCCGTTTCGGACAATACAACCCGCCGGTGGGTTGTAAGATTCCTGAAGCTCTAGCTTCGCCAGTTTACGATAGAATTCTACGGGGTTCTGGCATATGATTGGGGACACCATGGCGAAGCTTCAGCTAGAGTGATCCGGGCTCGGGATACTGTAATGTTATGTTGCGGTGGGTATGCCGTAGATAGTTATGACAGACCTTAGCTCAAATTTCTCGCAGAGTGGTGCTTTTTTGAAAATTCGAGTTTACATGCGCGAGAAATACGGGGAGGGCACGAGTCTGATGTTAGCCCATTAAAGAATTATCGATTTTTTGATTTTATTAATTTTTATTGCTCGTCTCAGGGAGCTCAAAGCTTACATATACAGGGTGTCCCGAAAGTAAGTGCACACTTTTCAATTGTTAATAGCTCTCTTCTTATTGTGTCTTTTCCCGCCATCTAAGTCCTTTATTGTAAAGTAGGCTTCAACTTAGATATACATTATCGAGCAAATCAGCGATCTCTCTTCGTTACCGTAAGATTACGGTATAAACTTCCAGCATGTGGAACCATTGCGAAATATGCCATCTGACAAATTTTTTTCAAAAAATCTGAAAAATCGTGTACTAGGGTTATCGCGCATGCTGATTCCACTACACAACTTTTTACGAGTGTTTTAGCTTTTTTGACGGTGTAGTCACATTTCTGACAAATACTGGAAATTTAGTTATTTAGGTCTACCTGGGATAACTCTGAAAGGAAGCATCACAGTAAAGTAGAAGATTCATACTCGAAATCGGCGGCTTCGACTACCATATTTATTACTATTTGTTATTATTACCATATTGTAAGAGTATACGGCTTGTTTGGTTTTGTTTCGAGGCAGAATATGGCCTCCAATGCCCTAAAATCCTTGTCCAAGTTCCCACCTAATTCTTTAGTAACGAAGAGCGATCGATGATTCAATCGATACTGCAAATCTAAGCTGAAGCCTCCTCTACAGAATGGTGCTTGAATGGCGGAAAAAGAGACAATGGGAAGAAAGATATTGACGATTGAGAAGTGCGTACTTACTTTTGTGACACCCTGCATAGGTTTTTTAGCATGCTGATTATGAGAATAAAAGTCTCAAGTTCTAATGCAGCTTTCTTATATCAGGTTCTTGATTTTTACGAAAATTTCACCGTACTGTGACCGTAGTTCCACTGTGGAAAAGTATCAGACAAAATTTACATTACAATCATGAGCAGCACGTGAAATAACCCCAAAACACATTTTTTCATGAAAGTCTACGATGTTGGGTTCGTACCGAATGACCTTGCCGTATAATGCCAGAAACTAAAATCTTATATATAAAGCTGAGTGTCTGTTTGTCTGTCTGTGTGTACGTATGTTCCGAATAGAAAATTCCATTTCTGAACCGATCCGGACCAAACTTGGCACACATACACTTCGGGCCCCGGCGGGTGTCATAGACTACTTTTCATCATCGATCGATATCGATTTTATCGATTTGCAAAATTTGAGCTACGGGGCTGGGAGTTGGCACAGGGGTGTAATCGAGCATGCTGATTACGAATATAATAATGACAGGGCCGGGCGGAGCCGGGTAAGTCAACTAGTAATTTATATGTTACTAATCAGCGCCTTCGATAACCCTTATGGGGAGCTTCTCGAGGACACGTTTTGATTTCTTTTCCAAAAAGACTACCATTTCGGACAATACGACCCACGGGTAGGTCGTATTGTTTGCCAAAGCGAAAAAGGCTCTAGTCCTAAACGTCAGTAATCAAAAATCGTTCTTGTCGTGAATGTGTTAAAGTCAGCGTCCCGGCAAAAATCGCTTTCCAGTTTCTCACCTATTCAGAGCCTTCTCGCCATAAGAAACCCACATCTGGCCTTTTCAGCAATGGGCTCTTTTCGACGCTTTCCAGATCCGCATTTAGTGAAGATACACCAGAAGTCTTTCTCGCCCCGCCTCCCTCGTTCCGGGCCCTGCCCACTTCCACGTATTTTCCACTGAAAGCGGACCTGAAAACTTCGAAAAAACCTCATTTTTCCATTTTCATGGGCTGAAAAGCCCGATTATGGATTCCTCATGGCAAGAAGGCTTCGAAAAGGCGTAAAATTGGAAAACCAGGTTTTGCCGAGACTCTGCTTTCAAGGTCTCACAAGGAAACAATTCCAGCTTAAAGGCAGCGTCCGGGCAAGATCCATCCACCCAGGTTAGCATATAGTTATAGAGAGGGGCCCATGAGTATCCGATCTGCGTTGGTCCGAATCTTTGAAGTGGCCTCTAAAAGGAGATACGGGCCTGTGATACGTATCACAAACTGCCCCTTCGTATCACAAACCACCGCTGAGGACGAGTGCTCACGCAGGTGTGCGGTTGCATTGCAGTTGCATTGCAGTTGCACACCTGCAATGCAACTGCATCCGTACAGTTGCAGCTTTTCCCGCTGGCATGCGATGGGGAGGAGCAATCCGAAACTCGTCCGCTTCTTGAAGAGAGGGTCCCCAAGAATCGGGTTTTTTTGGGGGTGTTGAACAACTGTATTCAGGGCCACGGGAAGGCCCCAGAATGGCAGAAACATGAGAGGCAAAATTTTGCCCGGACGCTGCCTTTAAGGTGGCGAACTCGAACGCACTGCAAATCATTCTCATAAGCTGATCCCAAATCTACCTTCTATATCTGCGATGCGGTTCTCTGTAAAGGTTATTGAGCGGTTAAAAATGTGAGGTATTGTGTTACAATACATAATGTGCTCAAACCCCACTTGGAAGTTCATGAGTAGCACGATAATGAGTGTACTGATTTTAGGAATGCTCATATTCAAAGGAAACACACAAAGTCCTTTGGTAAAATCTGTGAGCAATGAAAAGTCTAAATTTGGTAAATTACAGCGCCATACCTCAAGAATTAGCTGATCAAAAGCACTTCTCAGTCTTTCTGTTAGGCCTCGAGCAGAGTTCACGCGATTTCATCATCGCGATTCATCGGGACAAGACAACTATAACAATATCGTTGCATGATCTTCTTGCATTTCGGTTTCGATAGTTTTCGAACACGACTAACCGTGACTGACTATCACAATCGAAATATTGTACAAGAAGATCGGCATGCAATGCTATTGTTGCAGTTGTCTTGTCGCGATGAAACGCGACGATGAAATCGCGTGAACTCTGCCTGAGGCTTGGAACATTCCATGAAATCAATACACTAGTCACGCCACAAATTGGATTTCAAAGCACATTATGCATGCAACTTCAATGAGCTCATGATTTCAACCGGCTCATAAGCTCTCCAGAGAACGGCATCGCAGATATAAAATATAGATTTGGCTCATCAGGACCCATCCAATGGTATGCGGCCATTCCAATTTGCCGCCTTGAGTTGGGATCGTTCCCTTGTTAGTGAGATTACGTGATTGTGGAAAAAAAATACATTCATTGACTGCAACATGATTGAAGGTAAGGAGACAATCTTACCGATAACTGACCCATAGAAAAGATTGCACATACAGCTTCCTGAGCAGAAACTCTTCTTGACAATTGAAATGTTAGTTGGACTCGGCATATACGAAGTATATAGTTGAGAACTGTAAAAATCTCGTTATTAAATGAAAAATAGTTGTCTTTCATATCATTCCCCATTTACTGTATACCACCGTATTCCGTTGTATGGTATCCAGTCAATGGATTGCAGCGATCGAAACTTTTTACGTGCATCTAGGTGCTAATTTATACCGATTCAGAAATTCCAAAACATATAGTCTACAGTGCTTTGTTTGTCGCAAAGTTTTTTTTTAATTTGTGGAGGAAACAATCAAAATTTGCAAGAGTTGTGATCCGGTGAGGAGGCATGAAGGACTACGCGAATGAAGAAGAAGATTTGCTTGCGAAGTAAGTCAATAATATTATTTTTGTTTTCGACAGTAGACGATATGGCTTGTTCAGTGACTCCGATGCAACTTATCGTCGACGACAGGACAATTTTCCCTACTGTTAGCAAAATGGCTTCTGATAATTCGCTTCATTACAGGTGGCTGCTTTTCCGCCGATACTAATGTTGGAAAGCAGCTCATAGCACGCACAGTTGCTTATTGAAAACTGTCTTATCTGCAAGAGGCTGCGAGGAAAACATGAGCGGTTTTGAACAAAATTGTCAAAACTAAGGTTTTCGCTATTGGGTTAGGCTATACCACACGAATTCTCGGACCCATTCGGCTCGTTAGCATCGCCTCTTCGCCTATCCATTCCACTGAAGCTCCCCATAAAATGTTAGGGCGACGTTCGACATTAATATTTAACGCTGTTCGGGATCGATCCAGCAGCTACAGTCAGCTGGCGGAGAGCCACGCCCCGCGGCCGCGATTGGCCAAGGCACGCTCGCCCCGCCCACCATATCCTTTCACATCATGTTCGCAATCAATGTCCCAGCCAATGAAATCTCACTTTTTCACCGCCATGTCGTTACAGTGGGAGTCGAGTGGAGCCGATGGCTCAGTCGGCTCTCCTCTCCCATGCCTTTCCTGCATTTTGCTCCATTTAGAGCGGTCCTTGCGTGTTCAGCACGGTCTTTCGGAATCAGATCAGCTTCGAATCCATCGTTGCGTGCCACTTCGTATTGTAGCGCTCTCGCGTGCCAGTTCACCAGCTGAGAAATAAATGAATTCATAGAAATTGCGAATCTGCTATCTTTCCATCGATGACCAGTGGCCATATCCGTGAAACCGACTGAACACGCAAAGCACTGAAATGGAAACTTGAAATGATTTAGAGGTGCCGCAGTTCTTGCGCACACCGTTGACGATTATAGAAAAAGTTTCCCAGAAAAATTTGCCTTTTGTTCTTCTTTCATTCATTTCATTCCCACCAAATCTTTGTTCTTGACCTTCATCCTATCAAAACGTCGCTATCTCACCCTATATTGCAGATGTATGCTAGCAAACGAAGGCAACGAAATTTCAAAAGGTAAGTGTGGCTTTATCTTGCTTCGTAGCTGTTGGGCACATAAAAAAATGCACAAAATGCTCTAGTCACGCAATGGATGACTAGATTGTGTTTCTTGGCTAATACCTTCAAGAAAAATAGATCAAAATAAGCAGTTCCATTGAGTAATGCTTCGATCATGAGGTTACTGAGTGATTTATAACAATTAGCTCAATAACCTCTTCGATATTTTCTCCGGCGAAAAATGAATAGAGAATTTTGATCTTTGTTATGGGAAGAGGTCAAAGTGAGCGCAAAAAATACTCTTTCCATGCTCACAACTCAACTACGCTAAGAACAATTCCATTCTGCTCAGAAGTTGTCAGCAAAGCATATGGCCCCATTGGAATAGAAAGATTGCCCTCACTTGAGTTGCCCAATTGCTTTGACAGCATCTAGTCTTCCTAAGTAGCCCTACTACTAAGGCTGGTTGGCTAATTATTGGCATACGGTAGGATGAGCGCAATCGAAGCGCTTCTTGAGTGGTGCCATTGTCCGCCAGTGGAAATCCCCACAGAAATAACACTACACTGGCTAACATCAACACACATTGAAGTGGTCGTTTGGGGGAAAGAGGGGGGGGGGCAGTACAAGGGTACTGTAGTTCTGCGATTTAAGGAGTTGTCTATGCGTAAGTGGCGGTCACTTTAACCAAGGCAGAAATTGCTAAATTCCAAAGAAAAGCGAGCGAGATTTTTCGAAGAAATGGGCAAAACTAGGAGAAGCTCCAGAGGAGTGCATCGGAGCAGCGCTGATGGAACGAAGTGAGGTTGAAGGCTGTCTGTGTGATGTGGTGTGTGTGTGTGAGGATGGTTGGCGTGCCGAGGGTCAGCGTCACGGCACATCTCGTGTCCAGCCAACAATGCACGCGACTCGGCCACCTAGCCACATCTCCATCCATACATCCCTCATCATCCTCTGTCGTGCCTCAGGCCCGATTGCTCATCTCTTTTTCGCAAATCTTCAATCTTTATACTGACTTTTCCCGATTTGCGCGGGCAAAACGGCTCGATTTGCGCGGATTGAGTAGAAGCGCTTCCTTCCTTATCGTCACGCTAATCTGGCTTGTATCAGAGTTCAAAAGAATATGGGGAAGCAATTCATCTTTTTCACCCAACAAAAACTCGACAAATTGTAGCCTTTCATAGCTTAAAAGTAATGCTTGTGCTGAGAGTTGATGCTGTTGGATATGGAATTTGAATTGCAATTTTTGGTTCCCACAATAAAAGCACCAACTGATACGCTTAGACGAACGACTTAGATGATAACCAGATTTGCTATTTAGCTAAAGCCAGTATTTCACTGAATTTAAACGTTTTCTTCGAAGGTAGACTTCCCCTCTGCTCACTCTCATTGAGGACATACAACCTTTCAATCTCCACGGGAAGACACACAAAAACTTACTCTGTAAGTAATTTTTGCAGCTTTCTTGGGAATTACTGAAGAGAGGCACCAAGAAAGCTACTCCAGGTTTACATCCGATGTAAGTCCCGAGACCGGCTGAGTGTAAAAAAGTGACATCAAATTTGAATTTATGCTCAAGGATCTAATGTAATTAGCAGCCATTTCTTCTTCTGTCCCCCTTTAGGTTTGCATACTATATGATGTCTTTTCCCTTTTGAAATTGTAATAGCCATGGAAAGCGACGGCGGAACATTTGCAGTCTCCATAATAATGGCTATTGGTTCATTTTTACTCGATACAGTTTACCATCCATTCTCTCAGCGTGGTTCGGAAAGTCTTGCATGTGTCATATTTTTTGTTTATACTCCTCCATCGTACGTGCTATACTCTCTTGCATTAGAGTCAAATTGCATCAAGTATATATATATAAAGTTTAGCTCACATATTCTCAAATGTGTGATCGCCTCATTTGGCCAATCTCTCTCCGCAATTACACCACTTTTTAGAAGTATGTCGGCGGCGTATTGGTGTCGTTAATTGTGAGGTTCCTTTTTTGGAGGGTGAATTTTGTGGCATTTTTCATTCTTGTTTTGCTGTTTCTTCATCACTGGATTCTACCGCCACCGATTTGCTCCCTTGCAGCCTAAAAGTGGTGCACTAACATAAAGCGATTGATCAGATGAGGATGTCCGTAATTTTTTTTTGAGAATTCTTCTAGCATCCATGTAATTATTTTCTCTTTGCTTTTCTGAGATGACATAGGGGTACTGAAAGAAAAGAGTGCATTCCAGCCACTAAATCTCTCACAACAAATGCGAATTCCCCTGCCTACTGTACCACACCTTCTGCTTCCAGTGCAAAGGCAACTGACAATTACCACAACAATATCGCGCAAATTATAAGCAGAACGGTGCTGCAGATGCCTGCCAATTACGATGCTCTTTTACACCTCATTGCGTCAGCGGATGTGTTCACCTGTTGACGATCTGGCACTAATCTATAATTTATACGCTCATCATGAATGCCTTTTTGTTTGGCTCCTTGAACGGTTACATACTTCGCATACGAGGGATGAAAAGAATAGCTGGTTCAGAGTGGGTAGACAAGCGTATGTTAAGAACGGAGTAGACGAATTGTCTGTTCCCACTTTCAAAGATCTGCAAGGAGGAAAATGTCAGTTTATACGAGCTTCACCTTCCCAGAATATCCAAGGCTAAAGTCATTTGCGCTGCAACAATAGAACAGTCTGAAGAAATTAAATGTAAATTTTTTTTCTAGTCTCGGAGCTTGTTCAAATGTTCGGTGTATGACGTAGATTGCAGGGCACCAACAGCCCAACTCAGAGCTATGCCACTCCTTCAAGAAAATCAGACAAAATGCTCTAGCTACTAATTATCTGAAGCAACCAATTTCTAAGTTTGTGTTTGGTGAAAATCTGATTAAAGTCTTTACGAAAACATCATTACTTGCATTTCCAGGATGTTGGATTTTACCTTTGTTTTGATTCGATCTCAAAATGATAACATCGAGCAACACATGGAATGATCATACCACCTTGTCAGAAATTCGAAGTGCTTTCAGAACATTATAAAATATCAAAAATGCGCTAATCAGTGTCCATCTGGCGATAAAATTCGTGCCTCTCCAAAGATCCTTGACAAGTTTCTACCGTAATCCTACAGTAATGAAGAGCGATCGGTGATTCGCTCCATACCGTAAATCTAAGTTGAAGCTTGCTTTACAGAATGATGCTCAAGCTCGACGAAAGACTTGAAAGCAAAGGAGTTATTAGCGATCAAACAGTGTTTACAGGCCACTCATTGCATGCAAAGACTGCGGCTTATCGGCGTCTCCCTAATCAAGCGCTCTTTCGTTTCTCTTACCATCTGCGATTTCTCCCAAGCACGAGCTATCTTGGATGGATGCCAGTGCGCCCAGTCTTTGCGTGTTACGAATCGCCGATACATTTGCTTGTTATACCCTGTGTGAGTGATTCGCAACAATCTCAGCAGGGAATTTCAGAAGGACATGACCAACACAAGATATAATCTTTCTTTCCTCATTCTTTTGACTTGCGGTTGCACTCAAACTATCCTTGCTGAATTGTGGATTGACATGCCATTTTCGCTCCCCATCTTTGTGCGAAGCCATTAATCTGCAATAGTTTGTTGACTGCTATAAAATCGACGATGACTGCAGATGTTACAACGCTGCTGAAATATTCACTATGCGATGTTGGCATGGATACCACCGTACCACTCATGGAAGCTTGGTATTCTCAAACATCTTAGGCCCAGTTTCAAAGGTGAAGAGGGCTTAGACAAAATACGAACTGAAAGCGGGAGCAATAGAAATATTCTAATAAAGCTTTCGCAACTCTTCGCTTACCCTCTCTTCCGAAAGAGAAGGAAGGGAGGCAATGGTCAATCTTCTGTTCGATCATCCCCATACAACCATCATTTGGCTTTCAGTCTCACCTGCTCTCATAAAAAACAAGAGCAATGAAAAACCGAGAAAGGTCACTGTTAAATCCTATCGACCAATCAGTGTTCGCAAACAAAGGTCGCAAAACTAGGAACATCGATCAGTAGATGATCCTTGACTTACACAAACAAAGCGTTTGAACCCAGCGTTCCCGATTTTGGTAAAGAAAAGTATTATGTACATGCCGAGAAGAAGTAAAGTTTTTTCTTACAAGAAAGGCACCTAACTTAGCTCTGGAAAAAGACACATATATTCTGAATCAGCTTCGAACGCTGATTCCAAATAAGCTATTCCTAGGTGCGGGACTCTAATCTCGATCGAGCTATCGACGTTTTTCTCTGCAAATTTGTATACTCATTGACTTTCTGCTGTAACGCCATCATCATCTAAGCGCTAATACACTTGCATTGGGTTTTTGATTAAGTCATCGTCATTTAATGTCAGTGATTAGTGAGAAATGTCTTGATTTGATAATTTTGATTCAACTCTAGCAAAGTTAACAGCTACTAGCTCTGTTAATAGTTTGTGAAACTTGGTCGAACTTTACTTTCCAGAGTTCGAGAACCTCCAAAACCTTCAACATCAACAAATCCGTCAAAGCGGCATCGAGAGCGGCTTAATGGCGAGTTGGAAACAGTGGCCGCTCTGCTACCGTACGATGCCGCCACCATCAGTCGGCTGGACAAGCTGAGCGTTTTACGATTGGCTGTCAGTTACCTGCAAGTCAAAGCGCATTTCCATGGTAGGTGTTACTAAAACCATAATTATTGTAACTGTACTTGAAAGCCTGATCAACTTTGTGTTCAATAATGTAAAGCAGTAATCCAACTTCGAAGTTTTGGAAATCATACAGTAATCCCCCAAAACTTTTTCCGAAGTTGCGCAGCTACCGTATCCACATGAAGCGTGTATCTGTTTATCTAGCGGTATCTTTGCGCATTGTCTCACAGTCTATTGTGACATAATCCCGCTGTACGATGTCCTTATCTGGCAACAGATAGCCGATGAGTGGCGCAAGTGCGTCTGTTTGAATTGAAGTGAGTGTTATAGTTGTAAGACTATTCGTATGACTTTCTCATGGGGGGGGAGGGGGGCTCAACCAAAAAGCAGAAAATTTCAACGGTGGGATTGGCGATAGAACATAATCGTTCTACTAAGTAATGAAATTTTGTGTCAGAAGTATTTTTCGGTGAAAATTTCTGCATGCGAAAAAATGTTTATCAGTAATTCGTTCAATTTTTTAGTGATTCAAAATGGTACAGCAACGATTTGGTTTACACAGTCATTTTGAGATACATGAAGTAATGAAAAAGTCCTAGTGTAGGGTAAATAAAAAAGCGCATCCCCTTTGAACCAAAATAGTCATACTTTACTTCATATATTTGTGGGGAAAATTTCTACTGATTCTATCCTTGACCCCAACAAGTTCCATCAATTTTGGAGAAAACGAAGGAAAAGCCATCTGTTTCACAAACACTTGAAGTTTCAAAAAGTCTATCTCCCTCCTTCTTCCTACCCTAATTAGGAGCTGCTAGTTTTTGTTTTCCTATTTCCCCCTCCCCCTCCGCTTCCTCTACTCAGAAACTCCGAGTTTCCATCTTTTTCCCAGCGACTATTCTTATTAGTAAGTGCAGTGCATCAATCACATCCAGGGATACGGTAATGCTGGCTGATGGCTGTCATCGATATGCAGACATGGCCAGACTTAATGGCTGCCCTCAACACCGCCACTTAACCGCTCGCAAGACAAACACGCTCATGTCACACCTTCTGACGTTCGTCGACACTACTACTGGGGTTCATGGACACATATCTGCATATGGTCGGCGGGGTGGTAGGGAAAGCAATCTTGACTCATTGGGGAAATAGAACTTATCCTTTGCCAGCACTTTTTGCGCTTCCAGCGTGGCTAAACATATGTTTATAGCGCTGTAGACAAGCGCAATATGTCTTGAGTACTCAATATGGGTGAATCTTCGCGATCGCCCGAGTTAATAATTAATTGGACGAGATGCTCTGGCAACAGATGGGCCGAAAGTGGCCAGCTACGGTTTCGGAAATAGCGCAGCGCCTGCGGAGATGGCAGGCGCATGAACCTCTCGAAATGACTAATTGTTCGAGAACTGCTGCTCAGCGAGATTTATTAGCTGAAATCTTTAGGACATCTTTTTGTGAAATGAAGGGAGCATAATTTTTTACTTGTGTAGGAGACTTCGAGATTTCAATACACCCTCCTTACTTACCATAACTTACCTTTAACCAGCATTTTCAGCCTGTCTCACCTCTTCACCGTTCATCTGTCAATTCCCTCTGGCAACACACACGTATCCATACTGCCCCCAAACTTCACATTACTCTGCAGTACCCACCATATGCCATTCAAGGACTCTACAAGCTCTCATCGACCCCAATGAGGCAGATTTCGAAACCATAGCCTTGAAAGTAGGTTTTCTATGCAGTGCTCGCTTTGCTGTGGTAATTTCTTATTCATTTAGTCACTTGGAGGATTCCTGTTGATAATCAACGATAATGGCGAAATCTACTATGCCTCAGAGAATATTGAGCAATTTTTGGGATTCCATCAGGTGCTTATTCACTTCTGTCAAATTAGAGTTGGAAGTTAGAAAAACCAAAAAGTAAAAAGGGAAACTATGAAGGAAGTGCCAAGAGTAATGTTCGTGTTGATTCCCAGATTCTATCCAACAAACATTTCCCAATTAAAACGCAACTCGCATTCGGTATCAAATAGCACAAGTTTTTTAGAGAACCACGGCGTTTGTTACATGGTCAGTTGTCTTGAGACTGGTAGATAATTCATGTTATAATAGAAGTAAAAATAAGATGCGACTTTTTCTAGAAGAAAAACTTGCTGTCCTCCCGAAGTATTGAACCCTACTTTGTGCGAAAATTTTTATGGTTTTTTGGATTACACTCCAAACTCCATAAATAGCTATCCTGCATAAGAAATGGTTTCGACTTCGAAAGCAATATGTCCATTGCAGTCGGATGTCCTCCATCAACCGCTTTACGATCTAATTCACTCGGAGGATCGTGATGACATAAGGCAACAGCTCAACCTTACCTATTCGTTGCCACCTGGCAGTACGAACCCGCAGGATCTTTATGATCAGGGTTAGTCGGAACCGATTTTGGGATCCTTTGAAATGAGATCCTAGGATAGTATATTTATTTAGAAAATGCCCAGCACCTTGAGCGAAATGTGAATGCCAGATTTCGATGTTTGCTTGACAACACCTGTGGGTTTTTGGTGAGTGAAGAACAAGACTTATTTTGAAATTTCAAGATTCATTTTATGTCACTAAGTAAGATCAGACATAATACATTGACTGAAAAATGCACGGTTGTATTTGCAGCAGAAAAATCAGACTAAATCAAAGAGTGGGAGTTATTTATCTTATTGCACGATATCAATGTAGAATTCTTCCTTGATTTCACAAAATAATTTTTCCAGCGGATAGACATGCGAGGAAAATTGCTATCTTTGCATGGACTACCCTCGTCGTATGTCCTGGGTAGAAGCAATCCGGGTCCTGTTGTCGGTCTAATCACAGTTTGCACGTGAGAGCTCTTCCTAATCCCATCTCAAAAAAAATTCTGGTTCCATTTTGCTTCTCTTGCAGACCTTTCGTTCCACCGTCTACCGCAGATGTTGTGGCTGAAGATCAAATCTTGAAGACTAAGCACCAACTTGATGGAACGCTGGTCTCAATGGATGATAAGTAGGCTTGGTTTCCTACCAAGCAATTTTGGAATGATGTCTTTGTTTTTAGGGTTCATGCCATGCTCGAATTGAATGAGAACGAATTGCCGAAATCATTCTATAGTTTGGTTCATGTAGAGGACGCAGTATGTTTAGCTGAAGCTCATAAGGAAGGTAAGTTGTTTTCAAAGTTAGACAGGACAGAAGCACTTCATAAAAATTAGCAAGGAACAATGAAATCAAATTCTGAGTATTGTAACCTTTAAGGCGTTATACTAGAATACAAGAAACCTTCAAAAAAAGTGCTTGGCAGTAAGAATAATTTCAAACAATTTTTTGACCTTGCTTACAAACAAGGATTACCAAACAATAGTGTAACGCCTTGGCAAAAGATGTCCGCTTTTTTATGTAATTTGAGTGATCCAAAAATTTAGTTCACACTTCTCAATCCTGATTAGCATAGCAATTGAACTTTCATATAGAAACGTACATTTGTTGGACTGCATTCGCGAAGTGTCAAAAAAGTCTTTGGCACCAAAAATTCTGAGTTGTATTTTTTCGAAACCTATCCCATCTCTTCTCAAATGTTTTTCCCTCCCATTCACTGTAAGCAAAAAACCTATTTAGTGATTAAAAATGGCTCTTCCGGACTACTGATTTACCGTCTGATCAGTACAAAAACGAATCGAACTTATTATGTACAAAGCAGCTGTCGGATGTTTTACAAAAATGGAAAACCAGAATCCATCGGTCTGACACATCGGCTTTTGAAGTGAGTTGAAGCTGACACACACCTACTATTGCACTTTCTAATAAAACTTTTCAGCGAAGTCGAGGGCTCAATGTTGCTGGAAAAACGCTCATCGTTGAAAGCAAAGCTGCTTTCCTTCGACGACTCCTTCCTGCAGTCACCAAGAAATCTTCAGTCAACGGCAGCACTACCTTTACCGTCTGCGAGAGATGATACAGATGGTGAAAGGTAAAATTTGCCCCTTAGCAAATGCAAATTCAACAAAAATATTCAGTCCGTTTGCGACTCCATTGCCGATTGTTGCGAGGCAAGAAAAGAAGAATGAGTTCCCTATTTTTCCTCATGGTCTAATGCCAAAAGTGGACTCGTGGCCACTATTGCAGCCGGTATATTCACTTGCTGCTTCATTTTTTGAAAAGTTCTGTCCCAATTATTCTTACTTTAGCCTTTGCAAGAATTTGGTTTACCGCTAGGGCCTCCCATCGCGGGCGAACTACCTCCATGGACGCCTGATCCCTGGACTGGGGAGCTTTACCATCATTACCAAGCACCATGTAAGTTTCCATATGCTTGAGCCTTTCTTTTGAAACCACTGATTATACCATTTAGTGAGCTATCAAGCATCCTTACAACCGCTCCCACGTCCATCATACCATGATCTGGCTGTATCCGAATGCCAACACTGGAATCCTAACGGTAGGCAAGAAGCTCTAAGGGTATTTATAGTTTTTATTTCGTAAAAATCACTGTGTTTGGGTACTCTGCAATTTTGAAAATTAAAAAAATATAGACGTCCCACAGACTTGTTTGGGGTTGGGCTCACCTACACCTAAATTAATGTAGATTTAATGAAAAAAGCCATGACACTTTGCTCGCTATCAAAATAATGTCTAAAACAGGGCTCGGCACAGGGGCTTATAAGCAAGCTGGATATCGTTTTTGGGACAAAAAGCAAGGGGTTTCATTTTTGTGGCAAAAGACACAAAATTGGAGACGTTTTTTTGGTCGACGTTTCGTTTTTGAAGATTTTTCAAGAATTATGGTCTATGGTCAAAGGGGACTTCGTAAAATTTCGGCAAAAGTCAAAGGGACTTCGTTATTTGCATTTTCAACTAGCCACCTCGTGCCGAGCCCTGGTCTAAAATACAATAAAAAATTCGGGTTCTAGGTTTTGGTAGCAAGTAACTTGAAACTATTAGGTTGTTGCAAAAATAATGTCCGTTTTGCAAAAATTCGCTTTGAAAAGCTATAACTTCGTTCAGTCTTCATATTTTTGAATGCAATCAAGACCATCAGATGCAGTAAACCTTTCGTAATCTAAGGCGCACCTGCATATACTAATATCGCAAGCGGGAAGAAAACCATGCGTCAAAAATTCAAAAGTTTTGCTTTTGAAAACCTCGTTTTTGAAAGGTTACAAATTCCTTCAAGTTTTGTTGTTATGGCTGCTAATCAGCTTATTTTGTACACGCAACCCAGGAGTATACGTTTGTATAAAAAGAACTTTAGCGAAGAAGTTCTGCGAATTAAAAAAAAATAGAAATCCAAAATTGTTCACTTTTTTAAGCCTATTTGTGATAGGCTTGGAAGTCCCAAACTATGAAAACTTGGAAATCTTCATGCACTGAATAGCTAAGTTTTTCTGCATAAATTGTAGATAAGATGTCCTCACCTTGAGCCTACAGAAATGAGCGAAGTTTCAGCGATTGCCCTAATCAGGAAAAATTTCGAACCCATAGAGTTCCAGGCAGCGTGTATCTTTTTTGAAGCTCGATTTGTCACTTCAGGTATATTCGAAAAACTTATTTAAACGTGCAATAAGTAAACAATATCTATCCTATACAGTAGCTATGTTTTCAGAAGTATTCGTTTATTTGCGCCTGAATTGTGGCCAAGAAAGTTGGAGCAATAAAATTTCGATTTTGAGTGCGGCTGTTCAAAATGCTGGTGAAAATTTACAGTTGAGATAAAAGCTTAATTTCACCACCGTTAGAAAGTACATGAAGAATGCTTTCCAATGGTGTGCAAAACCTGTATGGAAAAAGAAAGCCTGAAGGAGAAAAGTCGTTTGGAATATACGCCTAGAAAAACGGACATTATTTTTGCAACAACCTAATATAATACTACGATGACCTCAACCCTATATGATCTACAGAAATGTTCGAAAACTAGCACAGTCAATGTCCAGGTTCTACGCAAAGCCGGCTGCTACTAACAGGGACATTTTCCATTTAAAATTCTGCAGTCCGCTTCATTTAGATTAGAATGACAATTAAGAAATCCCTCGATGTTCTATGTATAACTCGCGCACTACAGAAAGGTTCTGGAATTTCCATAAGATCATAAACCGCTGCCTAACATTATGATTCGCTGGCGATTACTGTAGGTAGGGTGATTAGTGTCAGTAAGAATAATCAGGGTGTACTGTATGTAGGCAAAACCTTAAGTAGAATTTTTTCCTTTATTACGATTCTGTGGAAATCTGTACCATTGAAATATATCATTTACGTTGGAACTTAATAGATATTTACGTCCATTCGTTGAAAAAATGTCAAAAAAATTTTTCCATTAGTCATTACGATCTGGAAGTGGAACTTCACTGCTTTGAGCTAAATCTTTGCAGGACATCACAGTGTAGGACATAATGCTCAACTGGCAAACATGGAGGACTCCACCCAACTGCTGATGAAAGATATCTCGCATGGTTATCCTTTGCCTGTCGACTACAATAAGGTCTATACTTGGGCTACTAAATCTCAAAAATACTCTTCTCTAATTTCCTATCTTGCCTTCAGCTTCAGGTTCCGATGGACTATCCCATGCCTGCCGTTGTGCCGCCTCAACCCAACGGTTTCCATTTGATTTCGGAAGTTACAAACACCTTATTGGGACAATAGTACAAACTGCTGCACCTCCAAACAGAAATGCTTCATGCTCAGAGATTTCAATACTCCGTGTGATATTGTGAAATGTGATATCTTGCTGTTAGATCATGATCTTCTTGTCAATATACAAATTTTAGTTATTTTATTCTTCACTTCTACTTTTAGCAATTGATGGTTTTGTGATCTACTTTCACCACTGAGTCTATATCTATATTTAACATGCCGTTTCGACTAGTTTTTTGTTCAACACCTCACGAATAATTCATGTAAATTATTTCTGATGAAGTATTGTCGAACCAAGTCTTTTTTACGGAAAGTTGGTTCTATGGCGAACGTACAGTTCAATCAGTTCAAAAGTGAAGAAAAAGATTTTCAACTAACAATTACACTCATTTCACGAGTACAAGACGCCATTGGCGGGCAGAGAGCTTGTAAAAACGATTTTTAAAATTTTAAAAATTCAATTTAGCCTTATAAAAAAATTTTTTTCGGGGCTGTGACCGCCCCTTTTTCCAGATTTTAGGGGCTATGGGCCCGCGTAGGCTTTGAGAAGCACCCAAAAATTTCGGAGTATGCGGCTAACGCCACGCACCTTCATCTGAGAAAAATTTTCGTCCCCTCTCCCGGCGGGGGACGAAAATTGGGGGGGGGGGCTTTTTTGTAAGGTTACAGTGGATTTATGGTAAGGGGTCTCACACAAAAAAGAGGTCGTGACGGTAGGCATATGGTATAAGAGAAGAATTGTAGACTATTACAAATTTGACTGAAACTTGGTGTAGATGCCTTACCTGACATGCTGGTCACGAAAGCGATATTCACTTCGTATGGTAGGGGTTTTTTGTAAGGTTACAGTAAATTATCGGTATGGGGTTTCACGCTAAACGAGAAAAGAGGCGTTAATTTGATGACTGAATATGATATTCGTACTCGGCAGAGCAAATAACCCTACCATATAAAGTTTTGTAGAAGTCTGAACTGACTTGTCCCCAAGCAGCTCTGCGTACAGCGGCTCGTTCAACTTTGTGAGGGCTCCGAATCTTGAGTTGTCTTCGAATTTCAATTCTTCTTCACTGCTAGATGACTTCTAGCAACATATGTATATGCAGACTTTCGGATTGTTATGCATGATGCAAGCTAAGAAAGGCCTCATTTCCTCTCAAAACTCCACAATTCCTCAATTTCACCAGTTTCCGAAAACCTCTCGGATCTTTCCTATTTTTTCATCAGAATGCGAGCGGTTTGCGCCAGATAGTTCCTTTGGCAATCTATACAATATCAAAATTTGGGCGCGACATTACCAGAAAGCGGAAAGTTACGGACTCAGTTGCAGAACTTAGTTAACAGCCTAATAAATTACGTGGTACTTCCTTGTCATAAATATCCTGCTATCGTAAGAAGAGGAGCATATCTTACTTTTTTCACATTATCTACTGTGAACAACAATAACCGAATAGTTTCATTTGACTAGATTCAAAGGAAGCACCTCTAGCCCATATACATTTGACGACTTCCAAAAATACTGCGGAAAATACTACCCTAAAATATCACAGATAAGTCCGTCTACAGATAGGACCGCTTTAGGTAGGTCCGCTTTTTTGACTCAGTTAAAGCCCCTCAGACAAGTCCGCCTACAGATAAGTCGGTTTTCTTTCCATCATAACTACCCTGAAATCTTGTCAGATAAGTCCGGACTTATCTGATGGACTTATCTGCAAGATTCTTGGCGGTGCGAGGGTGCATTTTCATTGATTTTTCTTGTCAAGAAAGCGGATTTATTTGTAAGATTTTAGGGTACATCACTTTGTGAATAAAAGACTCGCAACTGCGGCTTTGAATACATTGTTTAACGCATTGACGACAAGGCCGGTTTTTCGATAACTGCCATTTCGGACAGGAGCCTTTTTTGCTCTGCCAAACCTACGACCCACCCGTGGGTCGTATTGTCCGAAATGGTAGTCTTTTTGTAAGAAAAAAATATGTCTCCGAGAATATCCCCACAAGAGTTATCGAAGGCGCTGATCATCAAAATATGATTTGTTTCAGTTTTTGGCAGTATACGGTAAGATTACGGTAGTCATTCTGTACAAACCCAACATCACGGATTTTCGTGAAAAATTGTGTTGGGGTTATTTCACATGCTGGTCACGATTATAGTGCCCTTTGTTCACTACTTTCTCACAATGGGACTACGGTAGCAGTACGGTAGACTTTTCGTAAGAATCAAGAAACTGATGTAAGAAGGCGGTATTAGAACTTGAGACTATCATTTTCCTAATCAGCATGCTAAAAAATCTGTATATGCAAAGTTTGGGCTTCGTGGGATGAACAATGCGAAAAATCAATAAAATCAATAAAATCGATAATTTTTGATGGGCTGACACCAGTCTCATGCTCTCCCTGTATTTGTTGTGCATGCAAACTTGAATTTTCAAAAACAGCACCACTCTGCGAAAATTTGAGCTAAAATCTGTGCCTTACCTCTATCTACAGTATACCTACCGTAACATTACACTACAGTATCCCGAACCCGGACCACTCCGGCTAGAGCCTCATCAAGGTGTCCCCAATCATGTGCCAGAATCCCGTAGAATTCCATCGCATGCTGGCAAAGTTAGAGCTTTCGAAAACTTACGACCCACCGGTGGGTCGTATTGTCCGAAATGGCAGTACACGTACGACCCACCGGTGGGTCGTATTGTCGTCAATGTGTTAAACAAGCCTGAATTTGTTCTTTCTAGCAACCACTATTTAGTTGAAACAGATTAGAAGAAATTTGTTCATCACAAGGTTAAGCAAGCTTGCTATAGCAGCTGCGTTTATTGTGGTCCCCTCTACTAGCGGGCCTGGCACGAGTTGGCTTCTGCTTTCCAGATACCAAATTGCTTTAGTCCTTTTAGAGTCTCTATCTCATTCTGAACCTCAAAAAAAAAACACACACACACAATCCAAACAAAGAGATGCTTATATTCCATTATAAGCTTTCACAGTTCAAAGCAGTCCTGAAGAACTATCTACTTTCTCCATGAATCTGCAGTAGGATGTTTTGATATGTTATTGTTACTAACACTTTTGGTTCATTGTCATTCGAATATTTTGTTGATATTGCTGTTTTGTTCTTTTTTTTGTTGATATTGCTGTTTTGTCAACATAGGGTAGCCTATGTAATAAATAATAATAATAATATTCCTTCGTCAAATTAAGCACCATTATAACGATGACGGAAATAAATTGTTATAATTGAAAGTACAAAGTTAGGATTGAAGATTCAAAGCAACGGAACACTAGCATAAGTCTCTTTAATCTTATATATAAAGCTGAATGTCTGTTTGTCTGTATGTCTGTCTGTATGTCTGTCTGTCTGTCTGTATGTCTGTGTGTACGTATGTTCCGAATAGAAAATTCCATTTCTGAACCGATCCGGACCAAACTTGGCACACATACACTACGGGCCCCGGCGGGTGTCATAGGCTACTTTTCGTCATCGATCGATATCGATTTTATCGATTTTTATCGATTTTTTTGCTGAGTTCACCTACGGGGCTGGGAGTTGGCACAGGGGGGTAATCGAGCATGGGGATTCCGGATACAATATTGGTTTTCAGGATTATCGATTACTTTTATCGATTTTATCGATTTTTTTGCAAAGTTTGAGCTACGGGGCTGGGAGTTGGCACAGGGGGGTAATCGAGCATGCTGATCATCCCCAAGGGGGTGATCAGCATGCTCGATTACCCCCTGTGCCAAATTCCAGCCCCCTAGCTCAAATTTTCAAAAAATCGATAAAATCGATAAAAGTAATGGACGATCTTGAAAACTAATATTGTATTCGTAATCTGCATGCTCGATTACCCCCTGTGCAAACTCCCAGCCCCGCAGGTCAAACTTTACAAAAAAAATCGATAAAATCGATAAAAGTAATGGACGATCCTGAAAACTAATATTGTGTTCGTAATCAGCATGCTCGATTACCCCCCTGTGCAAAATCCCAGCCTCGCATGTCAAAATTTACAAAAAATCGATAAAATCAATAAAAGTAATCGATAATTCTGAAAACTAATATTGTATTCGGAATCCCCATGCTCACTTCCCCCTGTGCCAACTCCTAGCCCTGTAGGTGAACTCTGCAAAAAAATCGATAAAAATCGGTAAAATCGACATCGGTCGATAACGAAAAGTGGACTATGACACCCGCCGGGCCCGAAGTGTATGTGTGCCAAGTTTGGTCCGGATACGGCGGAGCCGGGTAAGCCAGCTAGTTGGCGATATTTAGCAAAGTTCTTGTACGATTTAGACAGAAAATGGAGGAAAGGCAACGCTTTGCAGCGGTATTTTCGTTAAAAGTAGGTTACTTCTATCCAAAAAAGTCCGAAAGTCATACTATGAAGTTCTCGAATTTTTGCTTAAACCACTCAGTTGGTCGGGAGGTAGTCTTTCTAGCCAACTGGTAGGCTTGAAGCATCAAAAGTTCTCACCTCATAAGCATTTTCGAATTTTTTTTGCATAACATTGCTCACAAGAATATTGTGTATATCGTAGAGTCATTTATAACTTAATATGCGTAGTGCACACTATACACGCTAACTGACGAACTGCGAAACCAGAACTTGCTCATTTCCAGTGATTTCTTCTTGTTTCCTTGTTTCTTTTGTTTTAGTTGGTTATATGTCAGTCAGTAGAACACATTTCTACATTTTGTTAGGCTAGAAAATGTTTTGATGGGAAATTACTAGTATGGGTGCCGTCGCTTATAGGACTTAGTGTGCAATCTTACATATTAAGTTACAAATGACTCGAGGTTACGTGTAATCCACATTTAGTATTATGTTGTACTGTACTCCATACAAGCTATAGGCGCCGTAAAACCTAATTGCCCCCGCCGTGCCTTGAACACCAGCGTAAGCGAGCGGTCGTCGCGAACGAATTTCGGCGTTCACTATATTCCAAAAAATCTTTCTTTAACTTTCAAGTTGTTCTCGTCAATGCAAGGTATATCTTGACGAAAGATTCCTTCA